ACAATTAGCTTTTGCACTCATATTAAAAGCCTCATCAATAAACATACATTAATTGGTTTAAATGTTTAAATTTAGCATTTGCGGTGGATGGCTCCCGAAGTATTCACACAATGTAGCAAATACTCAACCAAATCAGACGTGTTTAGCTTTGCACTTTGTCTATGGGAACTGCTTACAGAACAACTCCCATTCGCTCATTTACAGCCAGGTACGTATTTTATGGTTTTCCTCGTTTAGCGTTTATTTCATTCCATTTATTTCTCTAAAAATTTAAAAAATGGAATCTGTATGGGAATGGATGTAGTACTGTGTATGAATTAGCATTTTGAGGTATTGTGAAGAGTTATTGTTATTGTTGTTGTTGTTGTTTTTATAGATGATGTTGTTCTTAATTATCATTGTAATAATAAGGATTTTGTCTTTCTGTAAACAGCTGCAGCTGCTTCTCAAATGGGATATCACTATGCAAGACCACCTATTAGATGTGAAATCCCAAAATGTCTTGGGGGCCTCATTATTAAAGCATGGCATGTCAGTCCACAGGTAGGAAACTTAAGATAGGATAGGACAACCTAAGTCCAAAGACTTGTTTCCAGTGGGGGGGAGGGGGGTCCTTCTGGTCGTGAATTGGGCAGTACAACAATCTCCTACTCTTTTCCTGAAGAGTGTACTGCATTCTTTAACGTACACATGGGCCATATTGCATACACTGGGCGAATGGCTTAAACATCTCATCCAAAAGACGGTGCGCTATTGTAACTTGTATTTTCTCCATTGATTGTTTGTATGATTGATTTTTCATTTTTATTGTTGTAATTCAATAAATGTTGATGTTTGCTCATTTTCTGATGATATATTAATGATATGTCAACACCCGACTGCAAATAGAAAAAAAAAATTAATTGTATTTTATAATGTTGTTTGTGTATACTGATGGGTGACTGTTGCTTCTTAACTCAAAGTTGTTAATAATATATATTGTACTTTAAATATTAACTAGTAAAGCTTTTTTTTGTATGTGGTTTATCTTATGTACTTTTTGACATTTTAAACATTTATCACGTAATTGTGATTTCTTCTTGTAGATCATAATAAATAAGTATTTATGATTCTGACTTTACAGAAGCGGCCGACATTTACAGAAATAATCTTCTCTTTAAACGAATACAAGTCTAATTCTATGGTAAATATCTGTAGCATAAATGTTTGTCCAGTAATTATTATTATTAAGAAAGTCAGTAGGGACGTTATCACTTTCATTTGCACTGAATTTTCCCAGTGGTGTCGCCAGCAGGGGTGTGCTGCCCCCAACCCCCCCCCCCCAGTCGGGGAGAAAAGCACAATTCATCGGAGAGAAAAAAAAATTATATGTATTTTCAACATAATAGTAGACTCTAAAATTGATAAAATAAGCCTTTGAAACCCCTAAATTGTTAACATTTTTTGGGTCTTTTGAAAACCTTTTAATCGAAGCTTGACCACGCCTACAAGACTTTCGTCTGGGAAATCTGACCCCTCGTCGGGGGCTTCGGTCTCCTAGTCGGGGACCTCACCCCTTGCGTAAAGTTCAGTGAATGTAATATTTCTGTTGTTCATCCCCCCCCCCCTTTCAAAATCCTTGATGCCACTGAATGACATAGTTTTGTTACATTGCTGTGTATGGTATTTGGAAGCAGTTAAGATAAACTGTTTTTACTGTCATCTTTTTTGGAATGCATTCATATCAAAGTAATAGTTATGTTTCAAGAAACTCTTGTGTTGTATGTTTAGATGAAGATAACAATTGTGTCAGTGTTTTGACAGTTGCAATCCGCCCGTAAATAGCAATTTCTAAGTCATTCAATTTGATTGTAATCCATACAAATAAATGCTTTATAAAATACTCTTTTTTCTAGCTAAAACTTTCCATATCTTATGATTTGTGCACGGCCAATTCATGCAGCCAAGGAAAAGACTCTCAGATTATGGAAACACCTTCATCTGCAACGGAATTACAATGGGATTGTGCAAAGAAAGAGGGGTACGGAATAGAACACTGAACTAATTTTTTAAATATTTAAATGCAATTATTGTTTATCTAACTGATTGCAAGATAATTGAAATTGCTTGTAGTATAAAGAAAAATATGTAAATATTTAATAAATATTGAAAAGTATATTATGTAATTAGTTTATCATTATTTTATTGGGACCCCAATGGAAACATCCTTTTTTAAGGATTAATTGGGTCGTCCTGAGTCAAATAATATTTTTTTCTGTTCATTATCCTATTGATATGCTTTTTTGTTCCCAACCTTTGTCATAACTCTGTTTTTGTGATTGGTATGTATAGATTCGAAACACAGTTGAACTTGCCTAAGTCGAATCCAAAATGCCACTGAAAAATTGTTTGACTTCGAAAAAATTCAACTTACAGATTGTTAATTAATGGAAAATACAACAATTTGGCATGTAAATTAAAATTGACTTAAAAATGATTCGAGTTAAGCAGTCTAACCTAGGTTCCAGGCCCTAATTTTGGGTTATTCACTTTTTATTGCATTTTTTGCGCACCATACCTAATTTATTTGGCGTACCATACTCGATTTATTTATTTATTTTTTTTATTCCATCTTAAAATTAACTTGCTTGTTTGGTGACGCTATCCAGAATGAGAACAAATAAAAAAAATTAGGGATTTGTGGCAAGTGTAGGCAAAGTCAACTTAGGCAGGTTTCACTGTACAAACAAATATATTTATAGAGTTTGAAGAATCAGTATTATTATTGGTCAATGAATAACAAGTACTTTGTTATTAAATCATCTTTTCATTGTTTCATTTATATGTTTTGTAATTCATTATTGCAGATATAATACAGATGAGGTAGCAAAGGGACCACATTACATGATTTCTGACAAAAATGGTGGGTTGTTTTGTTATTAATTTGTTTTGTAGATGTTAAGGTTTAGTATTATGATTATCAATTTCTTTACTAAAATCAAATTCCCCAAAATGACAACTTTAATTTAAATATCTTTGATCCACCCATAAAGTATACTTGCTTTTTATCAATTTTTATTTTTAATAAATAAATGTTTGTATTTTATGTTAGTTTTCCAATTCAAAATTTCTTAGATGATTAATATTAAATTTTCTTTTGTTTGTAATAGGATATGTTTCAGATCCTCTCTGTACACTCAGGTCGAAGAAAACAAAGGAAGGTTCATCAATTTAAATTTCATCTAATATAAAGCGTTGTCCACACTATCAAATTCTATGTAACAAATAAATGTGATCTTAATGAATATGTACATTTATTTTGTTACAGCAAAGTACTTTTTTCTAAAGCAAAGATTTAAATGTTAATAGTATTTTGATCTGATCCAGAATAAAGCAACATTGAAGCAGTCAGGTATTACAATATATATCACTGCATTTAACACACTCTATTTATTATCAAAATATTAAATGTATGGATTTATAGTTAGTTTACACCAATGTAAAGAATAGGAAAGAACAAGTTACATTTATTTACTGTACACAAAATTCTAATTCACTGTAGTAGCTTCAAATTTTAAAATATCAGACGAGAGTGGGGAAGACACAAAAAACATTGCATTTGGAACATACTGTACATAACAACAAAATGTTCTTGAAATTAATTTTGCTGGCCTATCCGCATCAATAGCAACACTTTCAATTACAGACTAGGCCTGGAAGGTTACACACAATTGACTGGTGCAGATATACAGAAGCTCTAGGCCTACAGTATGCTGACAAAATTTCCCTTCATGAGTGATGAGATTGTCAAAAAAAACAGATAACAGATGTCACATGAATTTTCAAAGAATGAATCCTTGATAAGATCTGTTGCATTAATGAGGATGGACTTCCATAACAATTTATAAATAATTCTTGCAACACAAAGACCATTTCATCATCATCATAGCATCGAAAAACCCAGGGTAGTTGTCACAGCTTCTGGGAACTTTCCCTAATTGCCCACACAGTGCAAGATGGAATGACCCTTCTGTCAGATTTCTTCAGCCTGTTAAAAACCTACCAAATGAAGCCATCGATATCCAAAATTCAGAGTGACTATTCTTACACCATTCAAAAATAATTAGTATCAATACAATACAGTATCTTTATAAGGAAATAGGGCAAATACAAAAATTTGTTAGATATCACTCCTGCCCGTGTCAAAAATTTGGGAAATATTGATGCTGGAATAAAAATAAAATTTTTTTTTGCTGCATTATTTATTTTAAAAGCTTTAAAAAATGATGCAATTTTGTGACTGGAAATACATTTTATTTATAAAACAATAAAATTAAATATTGAATATTATTCAATATTTACAATATTCTTGCCAAATAAAAACAGTCCCTCCCTCATCAATTAAAAAAAAAGCAATATTCTATTGTTCTGAAAAAAAAAAAAAAAAAACTCCTGCTCTCATCACTCTTTTTTAAAAAAAAAGAGTGATAATTTAATAATTTTTTCTATGTGCCCTTAGTCATTCTGGCACTAATCATCAATGATAATTTTTGTTGAAAATATAAATATTTAAATTAACCAAAAAGCCCATATTCAAATGCATTGTATAGTGGTGTAACAATAGCCACGACCTAAATAATTATTTTGAATAGAATTACTGTACTTATTTCTTTAATATAATACTTTTTTTTTGTAATATAAATTTAAGGCATTTTCCAATATTTTATATCTTCAAGTCTAATATCTTCATATATGCTCCAAAATCAAGAATGCATCCGTCTTCACCCGCCTAATGGTAACATATTTAATCTTAATTTAAATTTTAAACTAACAGCATAAAAGTTGGTATCATCAAGAAGATATCCTCTCAACAAGGTATGTTTTTAAATTTTGAGAGTTCGCCCTCTAATTCGAGCCCACCATTGGGACCTGAAAATTTGGGTTGGATCAGGGTTGGTCTCCAATTAGAGGGCTAGCTTTGTGTTACAATGTTGAAGATTGGTATATTGGGTCTTTGGAAAATATCTCGAATTAGAGGGGTCTCGAAGTTGGAGGGACTGTATTCAACAAGTGAAGATTTGCCTCAGAATCATTTATCATTAAATAATTGATAATAAATAAGTTTAAAGCTATTTTAGGCAATATTCACATTGCATTATTGTTTTAAAAATGCTGTTAATATTGCACTAATAATGATCAAAATGTATATTGAAACATTTGATAACATTGTTCAACAAAAATTATTACTATCAAACCTAAACTACGATTCAGTATCTTACTTACACCATAATGTGAATATACTACGATTGAAATTGAGCTTTGAAGCTTCAATTAATATTTTAATACTAAGCAAAATGTACTGTTAATTAAAACTAATAATGCACTTAAAACAATGTAACAATCAAATACTAATAGGGCCTAAGTATTTTAGCTATATAGTACAACGAAATATGAATGCGGACTGATCAAAATAATACTTTGAAATTGAAAATTGAAAAAGGGTAGATAGCGCCCTCTAGACATTTCGAATCTAGTCTGATCATCATCACACATCTATGTTGTGACGATTGTTTTTTCGAAAGTTCTTGCATTTAAGAATTGATACTACTACTAGCCTAGGCCTAAATGGTAAGTGTTGAAAGAGCGTTTGTCTATTTTACATTAGCCCAAATTAGCCTAAGGTTGGGCTGCTCAGTTCTGGCTTAGGCTAGGGGCCTAGCTAGGCCCTAGGCTAAGCTAGGCCTAGTCCTAACGCAACGGGTGCAGGTCAACTCGGCCACAAGTCAACTCGGCCACAGTCAACTCGGCCACAGTCAACTCGGCCACAAGTCAACTCGGCCACAAGTCAACTCGGCCACAAGTCAACTCGGCCACAAATCAACTCGGCCACAAAAATTTCGGCTTCTGCCAACTCGGCCACAAGTCAACTCGGCCACAAGTCAACTCTCAACTCGGCCACAAATCAACTCGGCCACAAGTCAACTCGGCCACAAGTTATGTAAAGTAAATCTAAGTTTTTGCATCCTTTTTCTTCAATATTATGATTGAAATAAAGTACACAGTATGTTTTAGTACAACAGGACCACCACACTACCAAAAGAGATTTGAATTCTATTGCCTATGAAT